CCCCCCCCACAGGGGTACAAGTTAATACAGTTTTGCACTATCTTACTTTCAATTAGTTATATATTTGATTACAGTTTTTCGAATCCCCTCAAGGTCACAGAGGTGAATAACCTGACTGTAAACTTCAGGACCCTGTGGAATTAGTGGGGGTGTGTGTAAACTGGCCTCAACACCTATGATTATCAAAAAAATTTGATTACATTAGCATTGTTAGACGATAGTTTCGCTCTATTTTAATCACATTAAAACAAAATGGTCGTTTCTTGTTTTTTCTCTCCCTGTCAATGGAAAATATCTAAGTTTTTATTAAGAATAATGCAGAAAATTCAAGACTAAACAAAATTTGATATGAATGACACGCATGAACGGCAAAAACAGTAAGACAGTGAACATAATTGCAGATTTAAGTAGCACAAAGAGAATATAATAGTGTGACAAAACCAGGAAAGTAAATACTCCATACATCACATTACAGAACATGACCATTCAAAAACAGGATTCACTTCAAAGGAGGCATTTGAAGTTAGGGAATATTTACAATCATAATAGTATATCGGTTTAACGTTTAGAGAGGACCTGAAAACTGTGGATTGGATAAACTCGCTCTTGAGTTGATGGTCTCGAGTACTTTTGCAACCTCAGACATTGATGGTCGTTTTTCTGGAGTCACAGCCGTGCAACGCAGAGCAATCTCGAGAACTCCCAGCATTTGTTGTTGGGAGGAACTCGAAATCTTTGGGTCGAGAAGTTTCAAGGCCCCGTCACTGATGTTAATCTTTCGTCTTACCCACTTCACAACGTCAAGAGACTCCCCTGATTCTTCTCCTTTTTGTTCTGCTTTCCGGCCTGTTATGAGCTCTAACAAGATGACACCAAATCCATATGAGTCGTTTTTTTCTGTGGCTTTTTTCGTGTAACCATATTCTGCAGCAATGAAACAATTATCAAATGAGGAATTTTTTTAAATCCGAACATCAAAAGGACAATTTTAGGATTTAACATTATAGCCATCAAGAGTAACTTCCCACTGGGTAAAGACAGTACTGAGGAAACAATACACTATGAATCAATGACAAATGATCAAAGAACATAATAGGTTTATCTGAACGTGACCGGTTCATCTACAATTCCATGAGAACATCATATAGAAAATTTTATTGCCATTCAAAAGAATAGAAGATCGTAAAGTTCTGTGACACTTCAATACCTGGTGCCAAATAACAAGAAGATGCACATTCTGATGCCATGGTTGACTGAAATGCATTTTCTCCAACAATCCGATCTAAACCAATATCAGTGAGCTTTGGTTGAAGATCAGCATCCAAAAGAATATTTGTCGACTTCACATTTCTGTGGAGTAAATGTGGAAGATAATCATTGTGAAGATAGGCCAGTCCTTGGGCAATACCAATGGCAATCTTTAATCTAACTGTCCATGGCAAATTGAAGTCTGGTTTGTTGATAAGATCCCCAAGGCTTCCGTTAGGTAAATATTCATATATCAAAAACATGGAATCGTCTGAATGACAGAAGCCCAGAATTTTAATAACATTCTTATGCCTGATCTTTGCTATAGTTTTGATCTCACTTTTCAAAGATTTCGAAGACTGATTGCAAAAGTTCATTATCTTCTTCACAGCAACAAGTTCACCACTTGGTAAATTCACTATATAAACACTTCCAAAAACTCCACCACCTCTGGCATTCTTTTCATCCATTGCCATAATCAAATCATGCTCAGTAACTCGAAGAGGATAAAAGAAGACCGATCTCCAACTACCCAATTGAGATTTCCGATTGTAAGAGCGACGCATAAGGTAAAATCCAAAAGCAACAATCACTAGTGCGAAAACTAAAGCTACAGAAACTAAGGCACAGGTTACTTTAGCAAGACTTGATGTTTTGCTCGTTGGCTTGTCACCCGAACAAGGATTAGTCAAACCGGGGCCACATAACCCTGGATTCCCTTGCAAAAATGAAGCAGGGAGGCCAGATATCAGTGAGAATGGAACTCGACCTGAGAGCTGATTGAAAGAAACATTGAAGAGAGCGAGTTTCAAGTTTTGAAGCTCTTCGGGAATTGAACCAGTGAGATTATTCTGAGATAGATCAAGGTAAGTTAACACTGGAAGTTTAGCAAGAGATTCCGGTATCTCACCAACAAAATTGTTATCTGCAAGAGACAATGACACTAGTTTTCGGCATTTTGTCAGTTCAGGGATCCTACCTGAAAGGTAATTTTGGGAGAGATTTATAATACTCATTACAGGTGAATCACAGAAATTTGAAGGAAGCTCACCATAAAAACCATTCAATGAAGCAGAGAATCTATACAAACTTCTAATCTTTCCAAGTCCCTGAGGAATTTTACTGACGAAGCTATTATTATCAATCTGAACTTGCTCCAACTGAGCAGCCTCCAATAACGAATCGGGTATTTCCCCTGTAAATCTGTTGTTTTCAGCTCTAATGAGCTTCACTTTAGGCAATGACCATAGCCAAGAAGGGAAATTCCCACTGAACCCATTGTTCTGAACTTGAAACCTCTCAAGATTTGTGCATTCAATAATGGACTCATTAGGAATTGAACCATTCAAGAAATTTGTATGTAGACTAAGATTTATTAAACCTTTAGCTTCACAAACTCCATTCGGAAATAACCCAGAAAGCTTATTTCTTGAAACATCAAAAGAAACCAAATTAGGTAGAAACAACTCAATTCTAGGTATCCCACCAGTAAGATTGTTCTGAGAAAGGTCCAAAATCATTAAACTTTTCAAGCCCAAAAAGAAATCTGGTATTTTACCATAAAAACCAGAACCCTGTAACAATAACTGTTGAAGCTTATTGAGCTTAACAATATCACCAGGAATTTCACTCTCCAAAAAGGGATTTTCAGATAAATCAAGAACTAGAAGCTCAGTAAAATTTCCAAGAACAATTGGAACACTACCTGAGAGCAAATTACTACCCAATATGAGAAATTGAAGCTGCTTCAATGAACCAATGCTTTCCGGGATCTTCCCTTCAATATGATTTCTGCTAAAATCAAGAACTCTCAATGACCCAAACTGAGAAATCTGACCAGGAATTGGACCCCAAATCAGATTATTACTAATATTCAAACTCTCCAAAGAACCACATTGAGACAGATGGAGTGGAATAGGCTGGTTGAATAAGTTGTCAGCGAGATTAAGGCTAGTCAGCTTGGAAAGTTTACATACAGAGTCTGAGATTTCACCAGAAAGATTCAAGTTTTGAAGGTTAACATCAGACACAGAAAAGGGAAATGTTCTTGTGCAACTGATTCCAGTCCAGTTACAATAGTGAATTCCTGTGGTGTTTGTCCAACCTGAAAGAAAGTTCATGGGGTCTTCAATGGAGTTCTTGAATGTGAGAAGAATATCTGATTCAGAAACAGCAGAGGTTACAATGAATAAAGATAATACGAAAGAGAGAAGTAGAGTGTATTTCCAGGCAATGGCCATTGGAGAAGGGACAGAGAGTTTTTCCATACACTCTGTGAGGTGACAAAATGGCTGAGCTTTTGTGTGTGGATGAGTGGAATGGGTGTGGGGATTGTGTATTGAATTGTTTCTATCAGACCATCCCTGTCAACAAAAATCTATTAGACTTGACCCTTAAAAAGGGCTACTGACGAAAAAATTGAAAAATGACAAAGTCAAATAAAAGGCACAAAGGGAGTTTGGTCGTATTTTAGAGAGTCCCAATCTGCTTTTTTTGAAACATCACCACTAGACTAGACTTTGCAGTTATTTAAGGGTTTGTTTAAAATAACATTTTCGTCAAAGTTGTTCTAAACAAATAAATTACCGTCAGAAAATTATTCTAACATACTCAAATGCTTTATAAGTCTTATGTCAATAGATTTGGAATTCGATACCTGTAGTTTATTGCTAAATGTATTGAAATAAATAGCGGTGAGGCGACGAGCAAAGAGTTTGTGGGTTGAAGTGCACGATATGGTATTTCTTGGTTATCTAACACAAATATATAAGAAAGATGAAGAATCTGCCTAAATTGGCATGACATACCACAATAGGGCCAAGATAACTTTTGGTCAACTATAGGAATGGATGACTTTACTCAGAGGTATGTTGTCCAAAGGAAAAAATGGTGTCCTTTTATCTCAGCACAATAATTTGTTAAAAAAGAATCCTATGAGACATTGAATTATGTAAAGGTGTTACAAGATTTGACCTTTCACCAACCATAATAAAATCGCTTCTATGGAAAACACGCAGCTCTGTGTCTTGTGTTTGTATGGTTTTATGTTTAAAAAAAAAAAAAAAAAAACTCTGAGCAAAACTTTTCAAGAATAATAATAAACCTCCTCTCATATTAATATTAGAGCATGTTTGGGAGTACTTTTAAAAATTAATTTTTTGGCCGTTATAAGAAAAGTAGGATTCACCTGTAAGAGAAGAACTCAAATATGACGATTGAAATAGTGAAATAATGGTCAAAAAATCAATTTTTTGAATGAAAAAATTACTACCAAATAGGTTCTTAGAGGGATTATCATTCAAAGAATCTTGAAAGAAAATAATTTTAATGAAATAAAAATGTAATTTTTTTTTAAATATTGAATAATTATTAATATGTGAAAATTAATGAACTGCATAGATGCTAATTGCAGAGGGTGCACTGCGTGGTACCCGTGACTGACAACAGTCATACAAAAGTCTAATCCTCACATGGCAATTGACAAAGGATATTCTTTACAAACGTTTTTTTTTTTTTTTTTTTTTTAATTGAGGTTACTTAGGGCCCGTTTGGTAGGGATTTTGAGAATTGATTTTTTGACCGTTAGAAGAAAAGTGGGGTCCACATGTGAGAGAAGAAGTCAAAAATTACGGCTTAAATAGTAAAATAACGGTCAAAAAATCAATTTTTTGGGATAAAAAATCCCTACGAAACGGTGCCTTATTTTCAAAATGACTTCTTTAATAAAAATTTGACCGTAATACTTTGACAAAAGTGTCAAAGTAACTTGTAAATTTACACAGTCAAAATTCTGTTTAAATAATTTTAAATTAATTTTAGGACTTGATTAGGACTTTTTTTAAAAAATTAATGGTGTTCGGGGGATATAATAAGTCAAACTTATTTAATTTTTTAAAGCTATTTTGACTATATTTTATCAATTTATAATTAATAAGAGAATTATTGTTTTAAACTTCATAAAACTTGAAAAAGTATTATTCATAAAATATGCTTTTTACACTAAAAACTCAAAAAAGTATGTAGATTAACAATGTAAAACTACAACATAATGATGGCAATGGGGCGGGGGCCGCCCCGCCCCGCCTTAGATGAGGCGGGGAACCGGGCAACTCTTTGCCCCGTTTAATTTTTTTATTTTTTTTTTTACATTTTGAAAGTTTCGAATTATGTTATTATTAGAGAATAAAATACAAATTTAAAATGAGTTTTTAATGGATGAATTGTCTAGAAATAAAATTATTTTTAATTTTTTTTTTTTTACTTTTTCTTCACGGGACGGGTTTTTTTGCCATCACTACTACAGCACATTCTCTAAAGCGCCCAAAAACCAAAAGGTAATTTCTTGGCATATGTTATGTGGGTTTAAGGGTAGTTTAAATACGCTATACTAGACTCCACACAACTAAATAAAACAATATAATTGAAAAAAAATAAAAAACCTTTTCTTTAATATTGTAAACAGACCTACCAACTAATCTAACATTGTATTGAAGGATCGAAAATTAAAAAAGGTGAAAAGTATAGTGATAGGCAGTGAATTTCATGTTGCTTTTCCCTTGCATTTACAATAATTGGTACCACATAAAATGATTGCTAATTATGCTCTTCAAATTACCATGCCAATAGGTCAATGGGTGCATAAGAATGTAATAAAAGGTTAGTCTTTTTGAGATATGACTTATTAGTTCTTGTCCACGTTCTCGAAGGCACCCCTCTCTTTCAAAAGGTTTCGCTGTATGTCAGGTCTTGGTAAGATTTTTCGCTTCGCATCGAATTAAACAACATGCTCCACCACTTATACGGATCCCCGTCAATTCCTTTGAGTTTCATTCTTGCGAACGTCCTCCTTAGGCGAGATACTATATATATGATAGATAAATAAGTTTTTTAATTACTTCTTAACGAACTTTTTGAACATAAATCATCAATAAAAACGAGATATTCTAATTAATTGAAAGTTGAGGATAATAATGCAACAATAAAACAGAAGGCAATAGTGTTATAATGAGTAAAGATTGAGGACTTTATATGCAATTAAAATGTAATACAACTAATGAAAATATAGTTTGATAATTACCTTTTAAATCTTATACAGGTTATCCAAACCAAAAAAAAAAAAAAAAAAAAAAAGGGAAAAAAAAAAAAA